TGAGCACCCTCATCCTCGCCCTGGGGCGTCACGGCGGGTGGCTAGCCCTGTCCCCCACTCATCCCCACCGCATCTACACTTAGCGGGTGGGGAGGGAGCCACTTGGTGGCCGGGGTAGGTTTCTGAGACTCTCTCCCAAGCCAGAAAGATATCCGTAAGCCCCTTGCCCTGTGAAAGCTGGGGGTCCAAAGTGCAGACACACCAACCCTGTCCCTGGACCCAGCACTCAGAAGCACAGTGCTGCAATTCCAGCACATTCCCTGGGTTGCCGCCACGTCCCTGACCTGCTCTAGACCGTGCTGACCTGGCCTCCTGGACTCTGCTTCGCTCACACACACTCACGGCATGGCCAGCAGGCCGCACGGTGAGCAGTTCGCACACGCACCCTCCCAGGGACCGGCCATGCGAACCTGGGCGGCAGAGACAGGCTCTTCCCCTCCGTTCTCTGGTCCCAAGGCCACGGACCCTCGCGCGCTTCCTGCAGTCTTCTCAAGTCGACACCAATGACACAAGGATCCTCTGAGATCCTCTGAAGTGGGCCAAGGCGGTGGTGCTGCCGGATGAGACTCCCCATCACCATGGTAACCCACTCGCACCTCTGCTGCTGGGTTTTCTGGGGACACCGGCCCAGGGGCTGAGAAGCGGCTGTGTGTGGATGCAGCCTCCTGAGAGCCCCGCCACACGCCATGGTGTTGCCTCTGTCCTGCCCAAGCACGCCGTCGCTGCCAGGCCCCGTGGGGACGCCTCTGACTGCACGCCTGTGCCCTGCAGCCTGGCACCGTTACTCTCCACCCCTCACCCCTCCATCCTCAGCGTCTTCTGGCCTGTGTCCTCGGGTTGGGGCTGGACAGTGCTCTGTGGTGGGTGGCACCCCTTGGGAAAGCAGACGGCGGGTGGAGAGCACGGTGGTCTGTCTGAGGCTCGCTGCCAGCCAACGTGTCTCAAACAGACTCCAGGAGCAGGGGGCGGACGGCCACACGCTGTGCAGAGGCTTAACCCATGGGGCCTCCTGTCCCAGGGTTTGTCTGCCCAGTCTGCTCCCAGACAGTGGGCCAGGGGTCCTGTCTGGGACAGGGACGCCTGCCTCCAGGGCTGCGCAGGTTTCTCAGGGTCACTAGTCTCCTGTTCTGGCTCTGCCCCTTTGGGAGAGCCTGATGTCATGTGGGCACTTTGGTCTCCTCGTTCTCAGAGAAGATCGGGAAGCCCTGGGCTCGTTTCTGGCTCCCAGCGCGGGTCCGGGTGGCTGGTAGGAGGCCAGCCAGATTGCTGAAGCCAAGGGCTGCGGAGGGGGTTAGGGAGTCTGGCTCCCCTTGCCCCCTTCCTCCCTACCCGCAAGGCAGGGGGTGGGTGGGCTGGGCCAGGGGCCTCTGAGAAGGTCGTTCTCCAGCAGGTGGACAGAGGCCGGCATAGGCTGCTTATTGGGACCCCGGGCCTCCCCCAGGCTGGGGCACAGTCTTCCTTCTTTTGGCTTGCGGGCGGATACCAGATCTGGGGTTTTCTAAAGGGACTGGGGGGCGGGGAGGGCATCATCAATGGTGGTATCTTTAGCCTGAGACAGAAGATTTTTAAAGGCAAAATTATATTTCTGGTTTGTTGTTTCAGAAGACCAATAAAGACTGTATTTTCCTACATGCTTCCTGGTTTCACTGGGTGGGAAGGGGACGTGGGAGCTGGGAGAATCGCTTCCTGCCCCCTCACCTGCCCAGGCAGCCATCACCCTGGTGCACAGAGCTGCATGAGACAGACGGATGCCTCCCGGCCAGGGCCCAGGGCCTCAGGGTGCCGTGGGGAGAGGAGGGGAGAGGGACGGATCAGAATGAGGCTCCGTGGTTGCGGGCAGCGACGGTGGGGCGTGGCAGAGCTGGGATCCCAAATGCACCCACACTCCGGCCCGGCAGGGGGATCTGTGAGCCTCAGGGGGCTCCCAGGGGCAGAGTGGTGGCTTGCGGACAGAAGGGGTGAGCTGGAGAGCCCGCCCCAGCTCCACACCCTGCGGTGCTCACTGCCCAGCATGACGGAACCGGCCCCGGCAGCGTGCATTGCCCGGAGGATGCCGCTGGACAGCAGGGGGAGGGCGGCTGAAGCGGCTTCTCTGCTGCTGGGTTTCACCCGCGGGCAGGGCTGGTGGGGTTGCTGGCAGGGAGGAGGAGCCGTGCCACCCAGAGCCGTCTTGCCCTGACTGACTGACTCCAGCTCCAGCAAGCCCTGCTCTGGGCTCCCGGCGTGCTCGAGGGTAGGCATTGGAATCCAGAGTGGGGGCCGGGCAGGGGCACGATGGGCGGGGGAGGAAGAGCGCGAGGCCTCTGGGCCGGTTAGCACAGCCAAGCCTGGGGGAAGGGCGGGGCTCACTGTGCGGAGGGACACCTGCCGCCAGGGCTGGACGGGCCTCTGGCTGACCGCGTCTGGGCTCTGTGGTTCACTAGTCTTCAGAGACTAGGATGGAAGGTTCTCCTTCCCAGGAGCCACGAGCAAACCCCAGCAGGCCGTGAACCATCAGAGCCCTGAGGACTTCAGCCCCTCTCCAAGGTGGAGCGGGCTGTCCCCTCCCCCTGGTGGTGAGACATGTGGGGACGTTGCCTCCTCCAGCCCTAAGAGGAATAGCAGGCCGAACGCAGGTCTCCGACCCCCTGTAGAGGCCCAGGACCAGGCCCCGCCTCAGCCTGCACATCTGTGTCATTCAGACGCCGGGGTTCCCACAGAGAAGCCCCCAGGGCCGAGGGCTGGGCCCACGCCGCCGAGGCCCGGACGGCAGGAAGGGATGGCTGAGTGCTGGGAGGGCCCCCGTCTGTCAGAGAGACCCTCGCCGTCATGGTGCTTGACTATAGGACATGGAGAATTGAAATGGATCCTGATCGAAAAGTTAGATTTCTAGAAATTTCGCATGAGTTGCTAGCAAATCACCTGCTTGGAAATTAAAATGACCCCTCCTCATCCACCCACCCTTTTTTTTTTGAGACAGGGTCTCACTCTGTCACCCGGGGTAGAGTGCCGTTGGCATCATCACAGCTCACTGTAACCTCAAATTCCTGGGCTGAAGCGATCCTCCTGCCTCAGCCTCCCGAGCAGCTGTGACTACAGGCACGTGCCAGCATGCCCGGCTAATTTTTCCTATTTTTAGTAGAGATGGGGTCTCGCTCTTGCTCAGGCTGGTCTCGAACTCCTGAGCTCAAGGCCTCCCAGAGTGCTGGGATTACAAGCATGAGCCACCGCGCCCGGCCCCACCAGCCCTTCTGCATGACCCGTGGCGTTATGCACAGTGGTGACGCATGGCACACAGCTGCCCTGCGGCTGGGCCCTTCTCCTCCTTGTGCTCCTTGCTGGACACGCAAATAGGGCACACGCAGCCCCGCCGCAGACACCACGCTCCCCTAGTCCGGCGTTCGCTCACGCAGGGCCACCGTTTCCAGGCACACAGACAAGCCCTGCCACCCCCTTGGGCTGCAGGCCCCATCTGGCCCCAGGGTCAGGGCGGCTGAGCCGCAGGCCAGGCAGAGGAGACTGTCCAGGAGGCCAAGAGAAGCAGAATAACTGAAGCGTTAGGTCGCCAGTGCCCCATCCTTCCCCCTCGCGTCCATGCACCCCAGAGCGCGAGAGTGACTGTCTGCAGTGAGTTAAACCGGAGGCACGGGGACACGGTTTCTATGGCAACTGCTCTCAGCTCTAATTCAGCTCCGAGTTAAAAATGATATCAAATAATCGGAGAGTGCAGGAGAGCACAGCCTGACCCCCCCGCCGGCCCTTCTCCCTGGACCTTCAGATGTGCAGGCGCCGCGCAGGCCCGCACCACACGGAGCAGGACCATCACGGCGGGGACTCCAGGACGTCTGCAGGGAGATCAGTTTGGGGTCAAAATCTGGTCTGGAAATGGGCTGGGGTTAGCATGCCTTGGGCTAAGGGACACGAGGCAGCTGGGGTGGCACGGGTCCCTTTTGAATGCTGCCGTCGGCTGCGTCCGCAGACGACCAGTGAGGCAAATGTTTCTGCCCAGGCGGTTGAGCAGCGTCAGACAGAGCCTTCGCCCCCCATCCCCAGGATGGCCGGCAGCCGACTCAGGTGGCCCTGGGGCCCTCTCTGGGGCAGGAGGACAGAGGCCAGCTGGCTCTTTCATCCCCTTTGCCCTGAATTCAGCCTGGGGAGGAGGCGCACTGCCCCTGCCCACCCCACCCCAGCCCAGCTCACCCGGCCAGGGTGCCTGGGAGTCGGGTCCACCGAGCCAGCGTGGCTGAGTCTGGGTGCGCCCCGGACCACACAACTTTTCAGAACACAGCTGGGGCCGGGACACGGAAGCTGAAACCAAGGTAAGGAGGGCTTCATCGCAGGGGCCTGACAACTAGGCAGAGACACCAAGGACTTTTTTAGGCACCAAGACAAAGTCAGGGGAAGCTCACGAGGGTTGTTGACCGCTCTCATCACGTCAGTCACGGTAAACTGCAGCACGGGGAGGGGGTGAACTTGTCTGCGCCCAAATTCTGCCTTTATTGATCATTAGCTGTGGGACTTTGGGCAAATACCTTTGCTGTGTCTCAGTTTCCTCATCTGTAAAATGGGTTACCCTGAGGACTAAACGAGGAAGCACACGGGAGGCGGCTTCCATGGTGCCTGGCACACATCGAACACACACAGGAGCTCCTACTTCAGGGGTCTGAGCCACAAGCCCAGTTCCCTCTCGAGTGGGACACCAGAGCCCAAGGCAATGGAAGAGGGAAGCTACTCGCAGAGTGGTGAGAGCAGGTCTGGGCCGCAGGCTCCGTCCTGTGTGGCCTTGAGCAGATCTCTTGACCTCTCTGGGTTTTATTTTACTTACTTCATGAATTCTTTTAGATCTAAGGTTTTACGGGTTTATAAACAAAACGACGTAGGAGAATTCAACTTCCCGCCACCCCCACATTTCACCTGGGGAAACCCACAGCCGGGGGACCGTGGCCGGGCAGGCCGCGTGCCTCACTCCTGCCGGCGACCCACAGTCTCCTGCCCTCAGTGGCACAAAGGGCAGCTCCTACCTGCGGCGATGGCTGTCTTCTTGTCCACTGTCACCGCGACAGCTGTGCTCGCCGTCACCACCGCCGGCTCACCCGGACTTTCTGGGGAAGCAAAGACGACCCGCTCACTTTCTCTGCACCGGGGAAGAGCGGTGCCTGGGGTGTCCCTACACGGTCTCGGAGCAGAGACGGGAGCACGCAGCAGGCGCAGCCGGCCTTGCCTGACTGAGGCGCTGCGTGTGCGGAGGTTGCTGCTGCACGGTGGCGGCCTCGGCCACGGGTCTTTGCGGAGCAGCCCCTGAGCGCCAGACGCTGCCCCCCTCCTGTGTGGACCTGAGCTTGCCGGACACGCGTGGGCTCTGGCCGCCTGAGCAGTGCGGCGCTGTGATGTCCCGTGACGCTGGGGTTTTGCCTGCTGCGGCCCATCCTCCCAGCACGTGCCCAGAAGGTTCCTTCCCGCAGGAGGGCAGGCTGCACTTCAGGACTGGCGGTGCGTGATCCTCGGCTGGCCTTTGTGAGCAGGCGCGAGTCAGAGGTGACACTAACGGGCTGAGCCGCAAAAAGGCTGATGGCATCAGACACGCCCGCGGCTCTGCGTAAGTCTGGGCGCTGGTGGCGGCTGACCCGCCCCGGCCCTGCTTGCTTCGCAGCGGCCGCTGCATTTCTGGACACTCCGCCTGGCCTGCGAGGCCACAGGGCTTGCTTGGAGCTGCCCTTTTCACTTCTTTTAGAAGAATCAGCCACCGCAGGGGCAGAAGCTAAGGCAGGTTCAGCCGGACGTTGAGACAGAGCGGCCTGGCTCTGCGGGGGGCAGGCTCCCACATGACCCCAGGCTTCCCGATTCCCCTCGGCCCCGGCCCTGAACATGTCTCCTTTGCAAAGCACTTTGTCTGCAGGCCGAATTCTACGATCGAAACTTCCAAGAAAGGGGCAAAGTTTCACAATGCGCTGTCACATTTTGTCAGAAAGTCTTTTTTTTTTTTTTTGAGACAGAGTCTCACTGTGTTGCCTGGGCTGGAGTGCCGTGGCGTTATCCTAGCTCACAGCAACCTCAAACTCCTGGGCTCAAGTGATCCTCCTGCCTCAGCCTCCCGAGTAGCTGGGACTACAGGCATGCGCCACCATGCCCGGCTAGTTTTTTCTATTTTTAGTTGTTTGGCCAATTTCTTTCTATTTTTAGTAGAGACGGGGTCTCGCTCTTGCTCAGGCTGGTCTCGAACTCCTGAGCGCCTCCCAGAGAGCTAGGATTACAAGCGTGAGCCACCGCGCCCGGCCTGTCAGAAAGTCTTGATATCAAATTCGGCATGAAGGAAACGGGTCACGGAGTCTTGTGTGGCCACTGTTACCGTGACCGCGTCAGCCGTAACGGGCTTAACCGCCGGCTTCTCGCACCTGCACCGTTGCCAAGATCGCCCGCCGCGCCTGCTGTCATCAGTTGTCTCACGGTCATCTGAACCTACCCTCGGATTCTAGGAACTTATAATATGTGAGGTCGTCCTTGGTTCTAGGAGTTTGCCACGGCAAAGTCTAAGAGGACACAATAGACACAGAAGTCGGCTTCCCCACCTTCTTCCAGAAACATCTAGAGGACAGTGACGTGGCCGAGCCCTGCAGCCTGCTTTCCGGGACAGACTGTCCGTGTGTGTGCTCGGCCAGCACAGGCGTGCGGGAGACTCGCGTGCGGGTGTGGAGGCCCTAGTGATGGAGTCCCTGGAGATATCGGGAATTTCAGCTCCGGGTCGCCGCAGCAGCTGCCTGGCCCTGCACCTGGGCTGAGCCAGCAGGGTGCCTGGTGCTGGTGGGCGGGGCCCTGGCTGGCCCAGGGAGAGGTGGGCTGCAGGAGGGGGTGATGGGCCTGAGCCACCAGGCCTCGGCAAGACTGCTGCGTGCTGGCAGGTTTCCCAGGCGCCGACTGCAAAAGACAGCTCCATGTGGGCAGGACTCAGCCCACCAGGCCGCAGGCAAAGGGCTGCGGTGACAGCCTGGGGACACACCCTGGCCGTCCCCAGTGGCGCGCGCTGGGCGGGCTCCTCCCCTTCTCCTCAGAAGCTGCAGGTCCCCCACCCCGCCCCCACCGCACATTAAAATGAAAGTATCGTCGTTTTCTTTCTTCTGGGGTGGGTGGGAGTGCAGGGGCGCCCGTGTGTCTCTAAGTGTGTGCGTTCGCCCAGCGGGCGTGCGAGCGGGTGAGGACGAGCTCCGCTCCTCGGCGGCCCCTCTCTGGGCTGCCAGCTCCCCTCTCTTCTCCTGGGGCTCAGCTCCCCCCATCCGCCCTCCTACCTCACCGCCACATACAGCTCCTCCGGCAGCTGGCAGCCACAGTCCGGGTGACAACGTGGTGTCAAGGGAACCGTGGTCCAGGGCTGCAGGCAGGGGCCAGGGCCTCACCCCCGGGAACCTCCGCAGGATCCTGGGTGCCCCTCCGTGGGAGCCCTTTGTGCCACTACACATGGGGGTGGCCAGGGAGGAAGAGCCGCCTCTTTCTGCCTCAGTGTGTGCAGTGAGTGTGGGAAGGGACCTTCCCCTTGGCTTTGAGAACCTTCCCCAGGGGCTCGCACTGGGAACAAAAATGTCCCCTCCTCTTTCCCCTTCCTGCCTTACGCTCGGTATGGCGACTGAGCCTGGACTTTGGTGGGACAGACCTTGGTTCTAGCCTGGCTCTGGAGCTCCCTTGCTGTGTGACCCTGGGCAAGTCATGGAACCTCTCTGAGCCTCGGATTCTCCCTGCGTAAGTTGAGGAATAAGAACACTTATCTCACGGGGTGTGCAGACTGAATGAGCTATATGCGGAAAACTTTTGGAAAGCATGTTCTCTAGGGTACACAGGTGGGAGGGACAGGCAGAGCCTGGGGAGGCAGGCGTAGCTAGCACAAGGTGAGGAAGGCTTCCAGCGGGCCTGGAGTTGGAACTCCTCCCCGCTGTCTGCCTTCCCTGTCCTCGTCCCAGGAGGAACCCCTGGAGCCTGGGCCAGGGTGTTTCTCCATCTTGAGTCTTGAGACGGTTTTGGTGCAGTGGCGGCTGGACGGCCTTTGGGAGAAGGGCACCTTGAAGGGGAAGTTCCAAGTTGACCACCCGCCGGCCGCCCTCCTGTCACATGTCTCCTCCCCCACCCCCACCTCCGGCGGCTCATCCCCCCGCAGGTGGGTGCTCTCCAGGGCCCCGGGTCCACTGGACGGGGATCAGCTCCCCAGTGGTTACTGGTGGAGACCTTGCTCTGCCACAGAATCCTGGCCCCTGGACAAGCTCCTCAACCTCCCGGGCCAGAGTCTCTCCAAGGGTAAAGCTATGCCGGCACTAAGGTCCCTCTCAGGTCTAAACATTTTGTGATTTTCCTGGTGCTCTGTTAAAGCTGCTTAAGTTTTCTTTTTCGGCCCATTTTGCAGAGTGGAGCTGGGGTTGGGTGCTGGGTGCCTGCCAGCTCTCAGTGTCCTGGTCCTTGGCCTTGTCGGGGTTTGCTGGCTGGTGGTGACGGCCCGTCCTGGTGCTTCCCAGGCACCCTGGGAGGCTCCGTCCCGCCAGCCGAGAAGCTCCTTAGGGGCTGGCTGGGGGCTCCCGGTGGCTGCTCCTGGGTGACCGTAGGGAGTGGGGACCAGGTTGCTTTCTTTCTGTTTGGGAAGAGCGTGGTGGCCCTGCCGACTTGGGAAGTCGGCAGCCCTCTGACGAAGCAGTCTGCTACTGCCATCTGGGTGGTTTATGAACTTTCACAGACGCACAGACGTGTAGAAACAGAAGAATCTTAGAGATCAGCTCTTCCGATGCCCTCGCATTTGGGGTTCGGGCCAGAACACAGCCCTCCTGACTTGCAGGGCGAATCCCTTTCCTTCACCCTGCGCTGGACAGGGAAGCGCCGGCTTCTCGACAGCTGACTGGGGGTCCAGCAGTCAGCCCCAGGCCAGCACCAGCGTGGGGACCGGGTGTGGGGAGGCGGGAAGGAGCCTTCCCAGGGCTCGAGTGAGTGTCAGGAGGGAAGGCAGGGAGAGAACCCTGGTGGTCCGGACATTTGTTCCACATCCCCACCCGTTGAGCACGGCAGGAGGGGGACATTCTGGTCCTGGCCCCGGCTGGCTGGGAGCAAGGGCTGTGGGTTACCTGGTCCCTCTGCAAAGCGGAGGTTGAAGACAAAGCTGCCGGCAGGCTGCTCGGAGGCCTGGCGGTACCACAGCGGGAAACGGTCCAGCGTGAACACACTGGCCTCGTCTGCAGGCGTCAGGAACTTCCTGCAAGGAGGAAGACTTGGTACCTCCCCCGACACCTGGGAACATAACCGTCTCTTTTTCCTTGTTCCTTACAAGATCACCTGGGCTGGGCCAAGACAGTACTCCCTCTGCTTTGGCAGAGTTGCCGACAGGTGACAGACAGATAGAAACACTAGTCCCGAAATCAGTGGCACCCCAGACAATGGTCCCCAGCAATTCCTGACTCTTCCAGAATCAAAATGATTTGCACCTGACGGCACATGAGCAGCTGGAAGAGGTGCAGGGTCTGTGTTAGGAAGGAGCACTTTCCACTTTTATGCAAACTCTTTTGTCTGCAGGATTTATTTCCTGTGGATGTAGCCTAAATTATTTTCGTCTGGCTCATTGGCACGTCTGAGGGCGGCAGCCGTACTGTCAACGCTATCATGGCTCTAATAGAGGGGCATGGATTCCCCCAAATAGCTCCTTCGAAAGGGTTGCCACTAAGGCTTCCGAAGGCACTGTGAGTTCCTTTTGTCAAGCAACTCCACCTCGCTAATTACGGTTTTGCATTCCCTGCACACGGCAGCCCACGGGAGGAGCGTCCAGAAGCAGAGTGGGAGGCGGAGGAGGGAGCGGGGAATTGCAGCGCTGCTGTGGGTAATCCTCGGTGAGTAACTGAGCTTTGGTTTTGAGAGTGATGGGCTCACGTGCCCGCAGGGAGCAGGGAGCCCTCTGGGAGAGCTCACGGGAGCAGAGGCGCTCTGCCACCTCGGGAGGGGCTGTCTGTGTCGAGATCTCCTTCTCCCATTCTCAGAAGCCTTTCAGAGGGGGTGGGGGAGCACTGAGGATGGGAAGGGTCATGGCAGCGAGCTCTCCTCTCCACCTCTCCAGTGCGCCCGCCCCCAAGGGGAGGAGGGGCGGGAGGAGGGAGGGAGAGGGAAGAGCAACTTGATTTGTTTTCCTAGAAAGCCTCAGCTTTGCTTAGCGAGTGTGGATCTGTCCCAGAGTCCTGGAAGGAGCTCAGAGACGGTGCTCTGCGGCGGAGTGTGCTTGGATTTAGCCAGAGGAGCAGCCAGCAGGAGGGAGGCGAGGACAGCAGGGTCAAGGCTGTTCTCCCGGTGCCGGGTGGCCCTCACCTGTTTGCTCCCCAGGTTTGAGGAGGGGCAGGTGGCGCTGCTCCCCTCAGCTCCTCCACTGGGCCCCTGATTCTCCCAGAATCTGGCCTTTGCTTAGAGCAGGGTTTCTCCGCCTGGGCCCCAGTGACATGGCAGGCCAGGTAACTGCAGGCCGCAGCGTCCCTGGACTGCCCACGAGACGCCAGTGGCAGCCTCTCCACCTCCCCCAATGTGACAGTCAAAAATGTCCCCAGACATTGCTGAATGCCCCCAGGAGGGGGAAATCACCCCGGTGGAGCCTTTCTGCTTGGACTCTTAAGCCTCCCATGCCCCCCGGGGAGCCGGAACTGGGACCCCGCCAGAGGAGGGGAGAGTCAGTACCCTCCCACAGGGCGAGGTGGTGGCTGGCGGTCATGCTGCAGGGGTGGGCTCCCCGTGGCTGGGGTTCCGGTGGCGGCCCTTGGCCCTTCGGGGGCGGGGGAGTTTTTTGCGGGGAGGGGGGCCCGGCCGGAGGCTTTGGCTTTTCCCTTGGGGCGGGTTCCGAGAGGGGAGCGCTTTTTGGTTTTTCTCTTTTAGAGGCGCCTCTGTGTGGTCTCTCTCTCCTTGACCGCCCACCCGCCATCCTCTCCCGGGGACGCCTCCAGGACGCGTGTGAGCCTGGTGGAAAGGCTGCTTTTCTCACTCTCCCAACTGTAAATCCCAACCCTCTGCCCCCACTGGGCTCCCAGGGGCTGAGCGAGCTGCAGACCACGTCTCAGTCTGCCCACTGCCACACGAACCCGCCTAAGAGTCCATCCTTCTCCACCCTGCGGGGCTCCCTCCCAGGGTGGCCAGCAGGACTCACCTGTCGGAGAGCTTCTCAGAGCCCACGAACAAGCCGCTTCTAAGGAGGCCGGCCCGGGTGCCCAGGAAGGCCCGGTCCACTGCAGGCTCCGTCTCACTGTGGGGCAGACACAGCGGGAGCAGTTACCACGTGGACGCGGCGCAGGAGGCACATGGGGCGCGGGGAGGCCTGCAGGGGCTTCTGGGCCTCTCCCAGCTGGAGCCCGCCCTGGCTCCGGGGAAACCGTCCTGGAGGCTGAGTTCCCGGGGAGTTACTCCCGTCTGCTGGCCGCAGTGCACGTCGGCCGGGTGCCGGCGTCCGGGCAGCACCCACCCTGGCTGAGTGGACACCCCAGGCCAGCCTCTGCTCTGTCGGGTCTAGCTCCCAATTTGTGCCCCTGGGGTTGGATCCAGAAGACAGAAGGAACTCAGGAAGGAGATTCTGTCCTGGGACCAAGGGATATGAACGTACGAGCAGCACGTACCTGGCCCCTCACAATTTTAAGCCCTTTTCTCATAGTTCCCTGATCACTGGAATGAGAGGCGCTGTCTGCACCCACCTGGGAGACGCCCTGGGGGCTGCGTGCCTTGCCGACGAGACAGATCCGCCAGCCCCTGCACTGTGGCTGATCTTCCCCCCTCAAAGCTGCAAAGCCACGGCGACGGCACCAGCGTGGGACGTCGCCACTTCTAACTTGGGCGCTAGCTTGTTCCTGGCCCAGTGTATTGGAGGCCACGACCTAATTTCTCCCAGTGCCTGGGTCTGTGGGCTCGGGGAGCAGACAAGGCGGGAGCCCCCCAAGCCCCGCCCGGGGAAGAGGGCGCCTCTTCTCCTCAGGCTCAGAGCGAGGCTGCCGGGGTCTCCCTGAGGCGGCGGGAGGCGCAGTGGGCACCGCGCCGAGTCCGTGGACGGGGGAGCCGGATCAAAGCGCTGGGGCTGAGGCCCGGAAAATCCCTGAGCAAGAGCATCCGGAGACTCAGACGGGGCGTCCCCCAGCCCCGTGCTGTAGACGGGGGCTCGTCCGGGCGCGACGCCGGAGCCCGGCCACAGACCTACCGCGTCAGACCCCCTGGGGTGGGGCCTGGGCTCCCGGCTTCACCAAAGAGACCCTGGCCCAGCGGCCCACTCCCAGGCCGGGAGGGGCTCCCGAGCCCACCGCCCCGCTCCCTGCTCTGCCTGCGGCCGCCCTGCCCCTCGGCGAGGCTGTTCTGAAGCAAATCCCAGATGTTTCATGGGTAAGTATTTTAGTCTCAGTGTGTGTCATTAAAACATAAGGAATTTTTAAAAAACACCTTAATGTCATCATCACACCTTTAACCCCCTCCATTCCTTAATACCACCAGATAATCCAATCGCCTTATGAATTTTTTAAGTGTGGTTGAATCAGGGTCTGACTAAGGTCCACGCTTTGCGACTGGCTGGTATCAACAACTCTCTCGCCTGTCTCTCTCTGCATACGTGTCTTCATTGACGTGTCGTTCACGCGCCACACGATTCACTCACGTAAAAGGTGAAATTCATGGTTGTCAATGTCGTCACGGAGTGCACAACCGTCACCGCTGTGGACTGCAGAGCGTTTTCGCCACCCCTGAAAGAACGCCCCGACTGTTGGCCGCCACCTTCCATCTTTTTAACCTGACTCCCTTTCTCTCCCCACTCTCCCTGTCCCCTTCTCCTTTCCGTGCAGCTGACGTCCTGAGCGCCGGGTCGTTTGTCCGTGGCCGTCCGCGTGTCTGGATCTGCCTGCTGCGTGCTGCGGTGTCCCCCGGCAGTCAGCCCCGGGGGCTGCCCGGGTTCGGGGTTGCATTTTCACAGACGTGTGTCCTTCAGCAAGTCACACACTGCCTGATTAGAGGTTGCCAAATAGGTTTATTCCTTTATTTCTTCTTTATTTTATTTTCACTTGAGATACTTGTATAAATAAAACCCCCCCCATCAATATTTTGGTTATCCTGAGGAACAACTTGTACAGTTGCTTCTTTTTGTTTCTTTACCAATTTTTAGAATAATGCGTTGTTTTCTTAACATCTTCCAAAGATGACCAATGAGGTTTTTTTCCAGTACCAATAGGAACCCAAAGGTTTTTAAAAACATATTTCATGCATTTTAACCAATCGCAGTTATTATAACTTTTGCTGCTCTGATCGTCCCACCTTTGGCCCGTGAGAGGCTCTTTACGTTGGCCCTGGGGTGGTCCCTTTGGGACAATCTCATTAGTCTTTGGTAGCTTCTGGCTTCCTGGGACGACAAGATGTTTCGGGTTCATTCTGTGCATGTCCCGCCCCTGTGATGGAGTCAGACATTTCTGCGTGGCGCACGGGCTCTCTGGGCGAGAACCAGCGTGGGGCGTCCGCGGTGCAGGGCCGGCTCACTCGCTGAGGTTGGTCCTTCCAGTGGAGAGAGCTGAAATGACCTTCTTATTTCTTCAAGAGAAAATACATCATGAGTTCAAATTGACATTTCCAACTCAAATTCAGCATTATATCTAAACTTCTTTGATTCTTGAAATTTGCATCTCTTTTCTCTTTTGCTGAAAATCTTGGTTCCTAATGACATTAATTTAACCCAGTCCCATTGGCTCTATCTATTCAGAATAACAATGCCAGTATTATTTCTAGCAATGTGAGTGCTGAGCACAGTCTAAGGTTTTATTTATTTAATATTTGCAGTTCTAAAGCTCCCTAAAGAATTCCCCTATGTACGGTTATTTCAGGAATTTGATGAACAGCCAGGCTTATTTGTTTCATTTGCTTTCAATTTTTTAGAGGTTGCTTTTTAAAATTTAATTTCGTTTTATAACTAGATAAGGCATTTACACGGGTTCAAAGTCAATATTAAAAATAAGACATACTCAGAAGAGTCTATCTCTGTATATATCTCCTTGTTCCTTCACTCTTCCTATAGGTAACCTTATTGTTGGTTTATTGTTCCATTAAAAAATACATGTGTATATGTGTGCATACATGTATACATGCATATTTATGTGCATGTATGTGTAAGTAATCATGAAAATATATCTGTATTTCCTCTTTTTAGATAAATAGTGGCAGTATTATTCTCACTTTTCTTCATTACTGAAGATTATTTTACAGTAGCAGCATATAGAGATATTTCTAGGCTGCATAATATTCTATCATGTTGATCTACCATGGTGCAATTATGTAGGTTGTTTCCAATCTTTCGCTGTTATTAAAGGTGCTGTAATGGATGGCTCAGATTTTTGCTTTCGAAACTATGTATCTCTGGGATAAGGTCCTAGAGGGGTGATTGCTGGGTCGAAGCGTAAATGCACACGTCATTTTGGTAGACGTCATCCAGTTCCCCTCCATAGGGCTTGGAGCATTTTCTATTCCTACCCACGATATCCGGAACGCCTGACTCCCCACAGCTTGGTCAACAGTGCACGCCGGCAGAGTTAGACGGTTAGCAGTCTCATAGTTGAGAAGTCCACTCTGCATACAGTTCTAACTTGCATTTAAGACTAACTGCTACATTGAGCATTTGTCCAAATATTTAAGGACTATTTGCATTTTTCCTCTGTGAACTGTCTTAATCTTTGGACCAGTTTTCCTCTAGAGTGGTTGGTCTTTTACATCTCTATTTTTGAAGACCTTTACTTATCATGAATATATAATATAGAGAGAGTACCCCTTTATCTGTTTTATACGTTGCAAACATCTCTCCAGTTTGTTGTTTCTCTTTTTACCTTGCTTGTGTTTTTATTTTTGCCATTTGTTAAATTTATCTGTCATTCCTGTGTCGCTTCTGCACTTTGAGTCATTGTTGGGAAAGATTTCCCCACTGCTAGATTTTAGAGCAATTGGCTCATGTTTTCTTTTAGTATTTATATAGTTTCATTTTTTGCATTTGAATCTCTGAGTCATTTGGACTTTATCCAGGTGTATGGTGCGAGAAAAGAACACAATTTTATCATTCTCCATATGGCTTTCAAACAAGTTATTTAAAAATCCATCTTTCCTTCATAGATTTGACGTGATGCCTCTGTCGTATACTAAATTCCCACACGCGTTTAGACAAGTCTCCAGATTTCCCATTCCGTTCCCGTGGCCGGCCTGCCTCTCCACGTGTCAGGGCCACGCTCTGTGATTCGTGCGGGCTTCGCCATGTGCTTTAACGTCTTGGTAGGCCCAGCCTTGTTTCGCTGCTTTCTCTGCCAGGCGCTTCCGGGCTATTCTTGCTTGTTCTTCCACATGAACTTGACAATCAGTTTATCTGCACGCAGAAAAATACTGATGGCATGGCATTTTTATTGGGGTTGCATTAAGTTTATAAATTAACTCCGGAAGGATTAATATCTTTATGATGTTGAATCCTCCTATCCAGAAACACTATCTGTCTTTCCATGTGTTGTAGTCTAGCGTTGTTGGCACTCAAGAGCACACGCACACACGCCCACTCACACTCACGTGCCGCGCATCTTCCTACCTGGTCACTAAACACGAGCCCCAGTAAAGACCAGCAAAGGGAGTGAGGAGATCTAAGGGGTCGGGAACCACAGAGGTCAAGTTCATGGGTGTCAAGACCTTACCTGCTGGAAACAAGGCTCTCAGCAGGGCACTTTGGCTAATGGGCTGTCACGGCTAGAGCCCAAGCCAGAGAGAGGGGCTCTCAAAATGGGGCTGTCCTGGGGTGGGGATTGAGACCTCTGCCCGGGAGACCTGCACGTGGTGTTTTGCGAAGAAAGCAGCAGCCCTATACTGAGTGTGGCCCTGCTCCCCTGCGGCTGTGTGGAGGTTGCGCGCCGCCCATGTCTCCCCGCCCGCGTCACGGTTCACCTTAGGCCAGGGGATGTGGGAGGGGTCCTGAGCCCCAGCCAGGTGGCAGCAGGGGCCCGCACTCAGCCGAGGGAACCTGGGCCCCTGGGTGCTGCCCCCGGGACCCGGCCGTACTTGGAGACGTTGAGGGCCAGCGCTGTCCAGTAGGCTTCCATGGGGGCTGTCACCACCGCGTCGAACAGCACCTCTCGCACCAGCTCCTCGTCACCTGGGGGCGAAACCAAAGGGGACCAGGCCGCGTGCTTTCCCCGTGATTAGGAACACGGCTCACCCGCGCGTCCTCCACGCCAAGAGGGACGTGAGTAGAACGGAACGGTGCCTCGGGCTCTTTCCGGCTCTAACACTCTGTGAGCCTAGGAGACTCCCTGGGTGACATCGGGCCAAGAGCCGCTCAGCCTGCCTTGCCCGTCTCCACGCCGCCCGCTCTGTTCCTGCCGTCGGACATGCGGCTCTCCCTGGGTCTGCGGCCGAGCTCCCCTCCCCTCAAAGCTGCCACATGCTGTTCCCTTGCCTGGGACGTGTTTTCCGGCTCTTTGCATGGGTGGCTCTTGCTTTTCCCTCTCTCTTTTTAAAACAAATTATTTATTTTTATTGAGGAAAAATTCACATAACATAAAACTAAGCAACTTAAATATGCGATTCGGTGGCATTTAGTACATTTACAGTGTTGTGTAGCCACCACCTCTGTCTAGTTTCCACGTGCTTCCAGCACCCGCAGAGGAGAGCCCATAAGCCACTTGGCTGGCTCTTGCATCCTTAGCTACGTGACACCTCTTCACAGAGGTGGCCTTCCTGGACCAGCCGTTCAAAGCAGGCCCCTTTCTCTCCCCTGCGGCGCCCCAGTCAGGGCAGGGATCCCGCTGCGCACAGGCCCATCCACATGTACGCATCAGCTCTTCCTGTGTTGTCTGCCTTCTGCACTGCTCTGTAAGCTCCCTGTGAGCAGAGGCCTGGTCTGGGTTCTCTGCAGCATCAGTGCCTGCCCTGGGGCCTGGCGTAGGCAGAGCACAAACCTCGTAGGGATTTGGCGATGGAATTAATGTCTGAATGACTGAGGGCACAGTTGGGCCAGGATGGGAGGCAGAGTCCTCTTGTGAAGGTGACGCTTTTGTGATAGGATGACCTGCTCCTTCTCCAAAGAGGATGAGGAAGGAGGATGCCAGGGGTGTGGCCCACTGAGTCACCAGTTGCATCAGAGCAGGGGAGTGCGGGCTCAGCAAACACGCAGACACAGGCGTTAAGGGGCCGTGTGGCCCCACGCTCCCCTCTGTGGTGGGGAGGGCTTCAGGGGCAGTGTCAGCTGCTGGCCTGGGGGCCAGTTCTAGGGGTAGTAGGGACAGAGCCGACGGCCAGGTGGATCCCCTGGGCCTCAACAGTGCTTGGTCAATAGAGGCTGAAAAAGAACTCAGTCCCCAATATGGGGACACATCCGTGTCACCACAATTCCAAGAATGCTTAGACGCCAGCTTTGCCTCATAGCAAGGTTGGCTCTGCCTTTTTCTTTGAGGCTCTCCCTGTCCTCTCTAAGCTGTCCTTGTGCTCCAGGGATGGGGCTACGTGGCATCCTCCCCCGCTCCCCTTGAAGTCCTGAGCTGCAGGACCCCAGAGGGGAAGCCCTCCCCTGCGGGTGGTGGCACTCACACTCCAGGTCCGGGTCCTCCCTGGTCAGGAAGCGGACCATGGCCTCCAGCTGGCTGAGCTTGCGGTGGTCCGGGTCGATATCCGTGACACAGTAGATCCTGGAACCCAGGGGAGTCAGTGTCGCCTTGAAAACTCCCCCTGCCTCCTCCCGTTCTCCCCTCCTCGCTTACCAGTCGCTGGCCAGGCTCAGGTCCGGGTGGAGCAGGTCGTGCAGACCTGGAACAGAGACCACACTCAGCACAATGCGCTCCCGCAGCGGCCAGGTGGGCACTGCGTGCGTGGGAGTCGCCGCCCGGCGGGCTCCCGGTGCGGAGGGACAGGCTTCTGTCCTTCCTTGCTCTTAGCTCACAGTAGGAACCCAGCCAGCAGCGCGAGGTCTGCACAGGTCCCGCCTGTGTGCACACGTCTCCCGCCTCCGGAAGCGCTTTTTCTTCCCGGTGCTTCGTGCCCAAGTCCCGCCCACTCTCCCAGGTTCGGATGACGCTGCTCCTTCGCTGCGCTGCCCACCCTAACCCAACCCTAACCCTAACCCTAACCCTAATCCAGCCGGGGCCACCTTTCCCCTCCCCAGCTCTCACGGCTCTCCTCCCTCTCCCAGCTGGATTCTGGTTATCGCGGCCACGTCCTCATGCTTCTGCCGGACGGCAGCTCCGCAAGGAAGCCGCGTCCAATTCCCCTTAGCATCTGCCCCAGAAGGGCTGATACTTGGCGACCAGTGATGTCAGGTTTGTGGCTTCGCCGTACCCGACCGAGCTACAGGGGCAGCTGTGGGTGAGCCCCGAGATGAGCCCTGCTGCCCCCTGAGCCTCCGTGGCCCTCGCCTGGCACACAGCCTGCCCCGATGTGCTCGGCTGCTGCTGTGGCTCTAATAAGTGGGGAGCAGGCGTCCTCCCGCCACCTCCTCGGAGCTGGGGAGTAAGGAGGTGCTCCGCGCGGCCTCGCTGAGCGGTAGGGAAAGATGGCGGGAAGGCCAGCGCGCATCTGTGGAGCCTTGAAAGGGCTGCCGCGCTGACACAGGCACAGGCCGGCGGCCGAAGGGGCAGCTCCTCTCCCCAGACAAGCCCAGGCGGCTCCGGGGAGGCACGGCCTTCCCGACACCTGATCTCGGCTTCTAGCCTGTTGCAAGCTCCCGAGTTTGCTGTGTCTTGCTACGGCAGCCCCGGCAACCGCGCTTTGCCCCTCGCTCTGAGCGGTTCGGGAGGCAGCCACGCCGGGAGAAGCCGCGTTTCCGCCACACTGTCCAGCACCCCGCGCGCCGACCCACCTTCTTCCACGGACGTGTTCCCCAGGAGGATGTACTCGCCGTGGCCCCGGGACAGCGCCACTCCCAAGCTGCGGGCGGGGCGGAGAAAGTGCACTCAGGGCCCGGCCGCCGGCCCCCTTCCGGCCCCACCCTCGCCCTGGCTCACGCCGTCCCCTCCGGAACTCAGGCGGCACTTCTGTCTTGTCGTCAGTCTTTCCTCCGGAGAGGGGCCTGGAAATCCTACGACCCAGGGCCCTCTCAGCTCCCGTTTTCCTCAGGGCGCATCCTGGAGCGTGGGGAGGCCTCTGTGCCTCACAGGTGCGGCAGGACACTCCTCCCACCTGGTGGCTCCCGCCACGCCTCCCGCCTCCCCCCC